CTTGAATGTTCTTTTGCAAACAATAATAGACCCTTTTTGGTACCAATAGTGAGGTTCTACAACAACCACCTTTGTTGGAGTTTTCCCCTTATTGGCTTCTGGCTCGTATTCTTTTGTTGCGTACCAGATTTTGTCTCATAATTTGGAGTTAGTTATTGTAATTCTTGCATTTTTAATTCACATTTTCTTCGTTGTGCCTGTAGTTGTAATCCGTTATTTCATAGTTAATAATTCATTTGGAAATAAAGTCTGTATATAGTGTTTTATATCGAGTTTCATTCGCTTCATTAAAACCAGCATTTGGAGAAAATACTGCTCGTGATTTCACGGCACACAAAGAATATGTTCTAAATCTATTACAGGCATATGTACATTACAATTTTGGTACTTTGTGTAGATGCCTTTAACAAAGTTATATACGTTTGTGAAATAGAACAAAGCATATTTTAATTATAATTAGTCTATTTTTTTTGTAAAGCAATTTCCTTTTACTTGATATGATGTATTTTGAAATAAATGCTAAACAACAACAGCAATAATTTTGTAGGATTTCGGGAGGTTTCAGCTAATTTTCTGCGAAATGCGAACAAAGCAAGACCAATTACAGTAACCAACATCGGTTGCTATGCTTTTATGTTTGATTAAGTGCAATGTAATTTGATTGCACTTATGAACTGCGTTCACTTCCTGTAGTATACCGCAGATTAGTTGGTCTAATAGAGTAAAAGTGTGGCACTTGCTGCTGTATTACAATAGGTACCATCCTCTTTAAACATTTAAAACAAGAAGTTTTTCACTTTGTTTGATAGGTATCATTCGAAGATAATAATTTAACATAAGTAGAAAACCACACTATGTGTTTGTGTATAAATTAAAATAACTCTAGCGAAGTTTACACACTTATATAATTAAGCAACATTAGACAAAAATTTTCAGTCCTTCTCCAGTCTCTCAGAGTCTTTCAGCGTTTCTGAGAGTGTCTCTCACAGTGTTTCAAAGTCCTTTAGTTATCGTCTAGGTGTTTTTATGGATCTCTCACAGTCTCTGTATGAGAGACTCGAACGATAAAATTATTAATTCAGAGATTCGAGTCTCTCACAGAAAGACTGAGTGAATAAAACTGAAAAATTGAGAGACTCGAGTCTCTCGTAGAAAGACTGGGATCTCTGAAATATGTTGGAATTTTAACCATATCTATCGAGACACCACTTCTTGAGAGATTCGAGACTCTGAGAGACTGGAGAAGGACTGAAAATTTTTGTCTAGGGCAACTAGGTTACAAACTGGTCTATTAACAGTAGCACCTGCATCATTCTGAAGGTAATTCAGTAATAAAAAAGTATATAATTTTGACTCGAAGTAGTCCTTAAAAGTTTGCGGAAAAAAAAATTATGGATTTTGTTGAAGGACTCTTGTCACTGCAACTTTTATTATTACATTGGACTATTCGTAAATAAAATATCATTAATTTTAAAGGTAGGTATATGAAGAACACAAGGATCATACACTTAATTAACGCAGGTTGTCGAATTTGTTCTTCTTTGCTCTAGAGATGACTGTTTTGTTTTAGTGTGCAATAAGCAGGACGGGATTGCTTAGCATAAGTGCAACATTGTCGCCTCTCAACGTAGAAAAAGTCTCTGGGCTCTACAAAAACACCGACCATATTTAATGGAACATATTTCCATGAAGGTGTTTGTAACACGAACGTGCCTTTGTTATTCGCATTTGTCTGCATTTACATGAACATTTCACTGTTGGGAATAATAAAATTCCGCCGCGCCGTCGAGATAGAGACCGAAAGGCAGCCAGAAATGTTTATGTAAATTTCATAAGGGCTAACTTCAACTCTTGTTGTTACCTCGTATCGCGATAAGTCTCTATTTTCCTTTTCATTTTTCATAATTGTGTCGTATTTCGCATTCATTGTTGGCCGAAACGGTTACGGTTGTGCCACCGACGACACCATATTTACTATTCGTGTCCTTTAAACCTTTATTGGCTGTGAAATCCATTTCAAAATTTTTTTAAATAACAACGCTATATTAGAGGGATATACTTTTAAATTGTAGTGTATTTAGCTTATAATAGTTGTCTAGAAAGAAAGAATTATACTGAAATTTTCAAAGCTGTGTGTTTATTAAAAACTTGCAGCTTCATCTGCTTGGAATGTAGATTGTGACTGAAAAAACATTTTTTTTTCTGTTTGTAAATTATCTTTAACGTATATGTAGTCTCTCTGTGACTTTTCTATGAAACCATTCATATAACATTTACTATTCGCTTTTTTATTTTAACGAAATAATGTAGGTACAGTCGATGTCCACTTTGACAGTTCATTCTAATCATTGATGAAAGAACTTTTGAATCCAAACGACCAGTACTAAGATTTATAGTCTAATAGAAGTAAAGGCTTTGCTAAATCTTAACCTTAAAAAGATAGAAGTGGAAAAGGAAATTACGTATTTTAAAGGATTTATTTTGGCAAAGCAAATCTTCTGTAGGTGTATCATGTAACCGGTTTAAATAGTTTATGCCATGAAATCCTCTGTTCGCTCGGTTTTTATAGATTTCTTTCAGAAAAATCGACGTTAAATCCTTACGTTATCTAGGGCAATAAAATGTACTTAAGTACGCTAAAACCTGACCGGATTATCTACAAACAGAATGAAAAGAATACAAATAAATCGAATTCGTGGCTTCTAAATATACATTTACTTATCTGGCTTATGTAGCGCATAACGTTGAAGAGACCAAGTTATAAGAAAAACATAAGCCCTTTATATCCTTTTTTTGATAACTGAAACTAAAACTATGAAAAGGAAGGAAGGTCTCTGATGAAAAATTGTCTAAATGAACATTACAGAAACGTTATAATTTATGCTTTAAATTCCTTAATAAATGAGAAAATCGCGATTTAAACAAACTTTTCTTTTGGGTTGATAAATTGCAGCTGTGAGAAGCATACATCCTATAGAACTTTACGTGAATTGTTCAAAACTTCTTGCTCTACTGATTTTGGAGATACGGCGGATAGCATAGTTTCGGCCATAAATTAAAGATTGTGATTTACAATAAAGAGTCAATTCCGTAGGCAAATAAAATACTGTCACCTATTTGAATATCTTCTTCACACGATGACTGCTTTTATTCAACTATTTGCTGTCTAATAAGACTTTTATTATTAATCAATTATCAATTAACCACTATATGAATATTTTCTCATTTCTTCGTGCTCCTTCTTCTTCGCTTTGTTTAGCCTCAAACTCTTTGACTCGTACTACTTACTCTCGATCTCGCGACAACTATTTATACAGGATGGCCATGTTCCAGAATGATCCAGCATAAGCCTTCTAGAAACCTGATCTTCTTTGCCACTATGTATCTTGGGTTGCCTATATACATGTGATAATACAAACAAAGCTATTCTTGTCAATTTATTTCTACCACATTATTACAAAGCTTTTCCTTACAGTGTTCGTCTACTCACTGTCGATTGGATTTCGAAATTCATCTCGAATCACGTAAGACAACCTGTCGGCTGAAGTAAAGCTTTTGTTTGGTGTATGAGTCCAAAGATCATCCATTGAGTCCGACCTACGGTCGAGTTGTTTTTTTTTTCTTACATTACAAAGTGCACGTTCACGGAAATCGATAGCTCGGTCTCGATTATATTCTCCTTTCATATCTTACTACCGCATTGCCTTCTTTTCATCCCCTGATCCGGAAATCAAACAATAGCTGCTATATTATTTCTCTTCCTGCAGCTACATGATGCGAATGCTTAACGGATCAAACAAGCGAACTACCGCCCTTTAAAAGAAACTTTTAAGCGTTGCCACTAAGGGAAGTTTCTGCAATTTGATATTTTCAGGAAAGAAAAGTTATAACTATTTTCAGAATCATTGTTTTTTGAATAATTCGTGATTAAAGAGCTAATAATAAGGAAAAAGTTTTGCTATTATTTAAATTTGGTTTTCAGATTTTTATCCAGTATAAATCATTTTAAAACGTCTCTGTTTTCGGGAAAATAAGGTAATGCATTAATAGGATTTATTATTATTTTCGTGGAATATGAGATACCTAAGAGTATTGTTTATGGCTCGGACCATTAGTAATTCAATATTACCATTATGAGGGATAATTATACACTGTAGGTCATTATTCATCAAAAGTTTCTCATTATTATCCGCTAATAAGAGCCAAGCGATAAATAACGTCACGTATTTGACTGAAATAATTGTAATAGAGATTTTGAATACTTCGGTTAACTAAAGAAATGGGCTGAGTAGTTGAACATTGTAAATCGTATTTCTTGCATTTTCTGCAATTAATTCATAGTAACATAAGTAGGATCACATTTCCGTTTATAATCCGCGAATGCGAGAGAAGTTCTAGTTAACTAGACCAACTTTGTATCTTTAGGGCTTTTAGAGTATTTACTGGTTGCAACAAACAGTGTTTCTTGTAGTTGGTTTCTATTACCTTCCTCAATTACAAGTTATGTTATGATACCTACATACTCGCATAAAATGCTACATTTAGAAACAGCGAAGGTACTTATGTGTATTGTATACACAGAAAATTCAGACTAAGACAAAACAAACAGAGAAATTGTGCCCCTAAAAATGAAAGTACAGACATCTTCGTGGAAATTGCGGTAAAAGTAGTAATAATATAACCTTCAGTAAAATTTAATTAAGATCCTAGACACACCAGTAAATAATTACCTATAAATTTTTGTCAGTAAGGTTCTTGACAAAAAGATTAACAAAGATCTAAAATTTAGTTTTATCAAGTGCAACACAAAGATTAATAACAATAACTTAATCTGTAAGACCAAAATAGTCACCTCTCATGATCAAAAACAAATCTTATAGATTGAAAAACTAACTTCATCTTAATGAGGAGTATTCCAAGAGTTAATTTACGCAGAAGGTTCATCAAGGTCTTACCTTATCTTGCTTTATTTTATAAAAAAAAAATTAAAAACAACTTACCTTTGTGATCTGTTGACATTATAAACTGTAGAAGGACCATCTTTGTTCGGGAATCTAGAAAGAAAAGATACCGTTGTTAATAATCCACTAATTAACTTAAGCAAAATTGATTAATATTAAATTCCTGTCTCATTCAATTTTCATTAGTATTGGATAATATTTTAGTGCCTGTACTTATTGGATTCCCATTAATTAGATCTTTATTATCTTGCTCTTCAAAAAGAACAAAAAACAAGGGAACACCACGTGAAGGTAGACATATGTACATGCATAAGTAATGAAGACATTTGTTTGTATGTTTATGCAAATAATACCAGTGTTTTATGAAAAATATGAGCATAAAGTCAATTATAATAGACACGTGTACGAGGGTGTATCGTTAAGTTTGGCAAAAATCATAGAAAATAAATTTTTAGCAAGCAAAGAATTTATTTTATTCGTAAAAAACTTTTATCCATTCTATTAAATACTCATTTACAACAGAAATAACTTCTTCATTCGTTGAAAATTTCTTCTCGTAAAGCCAATTTTTAATGTTAGGAAAGAGAAGAAACATAAGATGGGTGGGGAAGTAATTTGAAATTTGATCTAATTGCAGGTGAATTTTCCTGGTAGAGATGCACCTTTTTGCGCGTTAATCTTGGCCGTTTCACTTTTAATTCATCATTCAAATGCTCCAATAACGCTGCATAATAAAGGGCAGTCACTGTTTTACCCTTTTCTAAATAATCGATCACAATGATACCTTGTTAATCCCAAAAAACAGTGATCACTTTGATGCTTAATATGCGAAGCTAGTCCTAAAACAAGAAATTGATACAGCACTGCTATCTTCATGGCGATTTACCAAACTTATCGATCCACCCTCGTATTGCTTACATTGGAGACATTCGTTTCTGATTGAACGCATCGTGAAAATTAAGTTTTATATTCAGGATAAACTCGACAGATATGTAATTTTCATAGTCGGCATGAGCAGAATGGAGGTAAATCTGAAGTGGAGCCAAGGTAATACATCGTTCGACCGGCAATATATACGCGATCGACTTGGGTAAACACTTCCCCATGCATTTATCTGAATCCATGCTCGAGACCAGACGGATTTTGATATAACCGAGAAACCAAATCTTCATCGATTCTCCTTCCGTATATGTACACTGGGCACGTAGTCCCGATAGCGAACGTCGCTTTCATTTACTGCCGAAGAAGAATCCTTTACGGAAGTTCGAATGCGTTTCAGCTGCAAATCGTTTCCAAGTTAAATCAATCTTTGTGGATCGCGCGCGTACCATTCCTTCTTTCTCCCCCAAAACACCTACCGAGTCAATGGCTTGCTTGCTTGCTAGATGTTTCGACATCGAAGTAGAGCATGCACTCCAACAAGCAACCAAGCGAGCAAGCGGAGGAAATAAAAGCCCGCACACAGAGAAACAAATGCCTCCCCGGTCTTCGAAACACGTCCTTACCCCGCCGTCCTACGAAATCCACTTAGTAGGCAACAGGAACAAATACTGTTCGTTTCCGACGCTATTTCAACAATCTAAATGCATCACATTATCCACATTTACGACCGGCTAAAAAGTAATTGTTAACTATATGCAATAAAAGTAGCATATTGTTCTGAAGCAGTTACTCTACTTTTTTGATAATTATTCTTTTAATGGGACGGCGAATATAAAAGTATCTCAGAGTATAAAATTATCCCAGTAAAAAGAAAGATTGGCAAATCTGTATGATAAGACAAAGCAGAGTAAAAATAGTATAATTATTAGACGCATAAATTACATTTTATAAAATTAGTCCAAATTTATTTATACCTATGACCAAAAACATCACTTGTTAGTGTCAGAAAATAATTGTAAAAAACGTGAAATATCGTAAAGACGATAAATTAAAATATTTAAAAATTAGGGTACCGCAAAATTTCACTAAAGCGAATTAAACCACAAAAAGAAACCGTCTTTGCCTTGCAAACAAAAACCACACAACCATAGTCGATATTTAGGTGTAAGATTTATGTAGGAGCTAAGTGACGGTATAAACGTTTAAATAAAGGATATAAGGGTTGCTTAAGCTTATTTCCGACATCAAAGATATTATATTGTATTACATTAGTATACGGAGGGTGAATTGGCCTCTCTTTCAAAAAAAGGATCATGAAATAAGATTTTACTAGAATAACGGAATCCATCAACATATACAAACTATGATAATTTGAACTTAATTAACGACAACAATAAAAAACATTGAAATTTACTTGAAGGTTTGTTCTATGTTAATTAATTTATATGAGCAATTCATATTCACAATGGACAAAATATATTTATGGTAAAAGGTAACGTGGTTATCGAATACGCATTAAATCCCTGCTTTTAGGGTTATCAGTCAGTATTGGAATGCTAACTGTGTTTGTGTAGGATAAAAGGATTATACAACTTAACATTGGCTAGGACAAATTGACAAAGGTCAATTATTTATTCAGCTTACGGTCAACTAAGCTACACAATCACCAAGAAACAAGTTGAGGGTCAAAATCAAGCCAATGTTTATTTATTTTTAATCATAATCCAACGATAGGCAAGCTCCAAAGCTGGACATTTCAAAGTTAATTTGATCTATCACAATTCTGAATTATGGATTAAATAAATAAATAAACAAACCGTCTCAACTGTGCACACCTTTCTACTGTACGTACACCGCCTTCGCCTACAGATATTCATGTAAATTTTGTTGATTAATGGTCCCTTTAACATAATTAGATGTACCAATTTGCTTTTAAATTAAATAATATACGTTTCACGTTTATCTCAATTAATTAACGTTATTGCTATATTTGGATGGTCTAGTTGAATTTGCTTCTAATGAGAAAAGACTTTATCTTTACTCAAGGTAATTAATTTAAACCATTTAATGGATGGTCATAAACTCATTTAGTTGAACAAATAATAAACCACCTACTTATCTCAGTCTGAGGTAACTCCCCAGTAGAAATACTTTTCTTGGATAGAATATTTGAAAAAGACTAGGAAACGTGAATACAAAAAGCAAAGCACTGTTAACTTTGACAGTTTTCTTTGTTTTACATGCAGAATATTCTTTTATTATTCTTCTCCCTTTCCTGTTATACATTTAGGCGAACGGGTTTCCGCTTTTGAATGGCATTTCTAAAGTCCAAAGGAAATGGCTTTTCAGAAAGTTTTCTCGAACACGTACGACGTACGTATGGTTACATACTTTTCCTTTTTGTCTCCTTTCGATAATAATCAGTTATCGGCTACGAAAGTCGACATATCCGGAACGACGACCCTTTCGTTGGAATATTTCCTTTTATGTAAATCCATAAACTGAATATATGACCAACACTGTATGTATATACATATATACGCTTTTTACGCTATTGCGTTTCTCTGAAATAGACGAACATCACTCATAAAATTGATGGTCTGTTTATACAGTATGTGAGCATTGTAGAATCTTAACCCTTATTCTTTCAACTGCCTTTCTTGTGTTTCCATTTTAACATAAATGACCTGATTTACAATTAAATAAATTAATGGAATCTATGGAAGTTTAAAAAAATCAGAAAGGTTCATGGAAATGTACAGAAGTTACCAGATTTGTTTGTGCATATTTTTATATGCATGAACATGGTCCCTTCCTGTAAGTTAATTAAACTGATTGTGTTGTATTCATTATCAAAGCTTCATTTTTTGTCACTATATTTTCTTAGGAATATCCCACATGCCTAAATGTTTACGAACGGTAATTCATCTAATATGTTTCTAAATTGACCCCTCCTGTCTTTGAAGGTGATCAACCATCATTTTTCTCTCCATTTTCTTATCGATTTTTATAGCACCTTTAGTTCTTCTGCTCTTTCTAATTTTATTTTTAACCTGTTCTATACACGAAATTATTATCATCACATCACACGTCAAATGCTTCTGATCTCTTCTTTCCCATTCAACCCCGTACACAGCCTTTTCTTAAATTCCTAAATCCACCATTTGCCTTTTACCACCTTTTATCACCCTTTTATTAAAGGCGGCTTGACTCTCCGCTGAGTTATCCTAGATATGGAAAATAAGCGACTTTTAATATTCTGTCTTCCACTTTTATAGTTCCTCTTACTACTACTACAACTGCTTTCTATTTCATTTTTATACTACACCCTTTTCTCATTATTGCCCATTCACTTAAAGCTATCTCTATGACTACCCCTTGGAAGATCCTATTTGTGGTTGTAAGTCTTCATTTTTCAATTTTTTAAACTTTCCATATTAAAATGTAACCTGATTAAACCACTTAACATAATGTTTTTTTTTTAACATTAATTTCAACTTGTTTGTGCATATTTTTACATGCATGAACATAGTTCCTTCCGGTAAATTAATTTAACTGATTTTGTTGTAGTTTTCATAGTAGTTACAGAATACTTACTTATCGTGGGTCTATTTCCTTTTTAAAAAATTCCTTTAGATATTGATCTGTTAATTCGGTGTTCACGGTTCAAAGCACGAAAGGTATCAGTCCGTAAAGTTCATATATTATTTATGCGAAGTATAGTTTCGTTCGTAAAAGTGGTTTAACTCGCACGAAAATCGAAAGTAGTCTCATAACAATTTATTATATTGTTAGTGCACATGGTACCGTCTCGTCGTATTACGTGCTGAAACCAATAACAGAAACAAACAATTTCCTGTTAAATAAAAAAGAAAAATCGAGAACGAAATCAATTTATGTGTAAAAACGGTTTTCAGTTAAGAAAGTAGAGAACAAAAAGGTTTTTCGTGAATCGGTAAATAGCATTTTCGTTAAACACCACGTAGTTTAAATTCCACATGGGTGGCACAAAACAAATAAGAAAATCCTTTATATCCTTTGCTTATCTGTTTCACAATTGTAATTGATTGATTGTGATGTTACCTGACGGAAATGTGTATTTGAAATACATTAATCAAAAACTCTGTAAAGTTTTATTTCGTTAATTATTATTTCGCTGTTTTGTATAGAATTATAGAAGAAAAGCTACCAAGCAACGAAGGTATTGTAAT